GTTTATGTGTAAAAACAAAAAAGACTAGGCTTTTTACGGCCCTCACTACAGGACCTTATAAAAGATCTGTCATTTGTTATCTCATAATCACTAGAGCATTAAACACGTGAAAATAATTTCAAATTTCTTTTTTTGCTTGAAAATATCATCAATGTTTTCGTTAACAACAACCAATCTCTAATAAAAACAAAAATTGTAACTTGCTTTTACCTATAATACTCATCGTCAGACAAAATAAAAAGCGAAGAAACGATTACGATCAACGGAAGTAAACATTTACACGTGTAATTTTATTTTGAAAAACAATAGCACAATGGGTTGCAAAAATACGAAAATACACGTATTACCACAATTAATTACTTTTGATGAATTACCCGTAGAAATTATTTATAAAATCCTAAATGAATTGGATATATGTTCAATTTTTCAATCTTTATTTCATGTATGTAAACATTTAGATGAAATTTTATCATCTTATAATGAATATCATTTAAATTTGAAAACAATTTCATTAAAAACATTTCATTTTATTTCTTCACATATTCGCCCAGAACAAATTACACAATTAACATTATCTGATGATGAAACTAGTGTAGGATTAATTGAATTATTTCTTTCAAAATATTCTATGAGCACATTAGTTCGTCTTCGTTCATTAACACTTATACAAATTCAAAATGAAGAACTCATAAATCAAATATTAATTCCAATCGCCGATCATAGTACATTATTAAATTTTACTTCAATTAGAATCATTAATGATGATGAAAGTTATAGTGATACTTTTATTGCATTACTCATGTCTATTCTCAGTAAACCTACACTTCAAAAAGCTTATCTTGATTTATCCTATGATCGAACAACATCAAATCCATTACCTTGGTCTGAACAATGTTCAATTAGACATTTAACATGTATAGGGACTTGTACACTTAATTTTATTCGAAATACTTTTAAACATGCACTTCAATTAGAAACATTTATAACAGATGATTTTGATTTTAGTGATGAGAATGATTTGAATCAGAGTTCAAATAATCAAGAAACCGATGATGATGACGATGAAGATAGTGATGATAGTGATGATTCGGAGGAAGTCGCAATTGAATTACCAGCAAATAATAATGAAAATCAGGTACCAAAAAAAGAAAAATTTACATCTATTGAATCGACTAATTGTTTAAAATCATTAACATTAAATTTTTGTACATTTAATATGTTAAAACTCGAATGGATATTACAAGAAATACCAACATTAAAACAATTTAGTTTAATTACTACAAATGGATATGATGATGAAACAATTTTAGATGGTCATCGATGGGAAATTCTTGTTCCACACATAGAAAAATTTCAATTTATTTTTTCAGTTACTTTATCAGATTCTTCATCATGGAATATCGATACATGTTTAACAACATTTCAAAAACCATTTTGGATTCAACAAAAACAATGGTTTATAGCATTAGAAAAATATGATGATGCAGTTCTTCTCTATACATTACCATACGCAGATATAAATTATATTATGAAAACTGAAATAACTTCATTTGAATATCGTTCAACAGCTATGAAAAATTCACTTTTACAAGTTCAAACGATGAAAAATGTTCGTGATTTGTATATAGATACATCAGAGTCAATTAAATCTCTATTAGAGGTAATTTTAACTTATAAGCAAAATTTTTTCGAAATACTTTTGTTCATAGAATCCTAATGTTCCTCGTTTTTATAATATTAAACATTTAATTCTTCATGGTAAATGGTCAAAATCGAAAACATTTCTTTCTGATATACAAACACTTGTAGATTTCAATACAATTGAAGAATTAACTAGAAATGAATCGATTCCTACAAGTGATTTTAGTATTTTATTAAATCTTCTATCGAATTTACAAACAATAAGAACGACAACGAATTTACTTGATGCTTTAAATGCTGCTAAAATATGTTATACAAATTGTTTACGTGAATTTATTGTTGATTCAAATTATCATGAAGATCAACGAACTGTTCATATTGAACCATTTTGTGCTATGTTTCCTCGTATTCAACATTTAAATATTCCAATCGATAGTGTTGAAAGTTGTCAATATGCTCTTGATCAATTACATCAAGATCTCATCAATGTTATTTTTCAAATACCTACTCTTGATACTTCAAGTGATATCGATGATACCGATGATGATGATGATGATGATGAAGATGAAAGTGAAGAAGAGGATGATGATAATTCAACAATTAATTTATTTACTGAATGGATAAAAGAATTACCACAAAAATATACTTGTCATAGAAAACAACAATACCTTCATATATCACTTAAATAAATTTTCATAGTAAATTAATATATGGTATTGCAATTGTCATCGAAAAAACATCTGGAATTTTGCTAAGGTTACATTATCCTTTTTTCTCCATCTGAATAATACGATATTAATGTTTTTTCTTAATTACATATTAGTGAAAAAAACTTTTTTTTTAGATAATTCATTTGATAATTTTCCATATGGATGATTTGCTTGTCATTGTATTTTGAAGAAGAAGAAGAAGAAGAAGAAGAAGATAATAAAAAACAGATTTCATTTCATTTGTACATATATGTCTCTCAGCTAATTCTTTCTCTTCAATGCATCATAACAATAGTACTATCATGATGATGAACATAATCTGTTCAATGTGAGGCAAATATTAACTCTCTCTCTCTCGTTCTCTCTGTTAACATATGAAGTGTCTGTGTCTGTTAATCTTGCGTATGGACATGAACATGCGATAAGAAGTACAATGTTTGATGTGTGCGATCATCATTGTACATCAACCGACTTGTTCGCCATGCACATCAAGTAAAATGAAGAAGAAGAAGAAAAGAGATAAGCATTAGCAGATGAGTCTTTCAAAGGATATCATGAAAAAAAAATGCAAATGAGTCAAGAAAAAAAGGACAAGCAAATTAATTACTATTATGTGTGTTAAGAGAGCAAAAGAAGATCAATAATAAGTGATGATAACGACAAGAAGTCTACAATGCCTTAAAGGCATAGACACGCGCAGAGTACCATTAGACAATTTCTCAATCGTATTTAAAAATAAGATTACAATAATTATACTTAATTGTTAACAGGTACAGTAGATTAACAAGTTGCTTATTTGTAAATATTAGACAAACTAATTGTCAATACAGAAATAGAACAAATATATAAATCAAAATATTCCCAAGTGATTTGTGTACGTCTTCAAAAAAATATATTTCGCCGTCAAATATGTTTGCCATCTATTCATTTGATCTAGATTATTTTATATGACATTGTCTATCTCTCATGTCCTTGAAATCCCCTGTTGATAATGATAGCAATGATGATAATGAGATGGTGCCAGGAACTTGTCATTCATGATCAATATCTCAAAACTATCTGTCCTGTCGTGCTACGGTCACTGCATCGCTTATCGATCTTTTTGTTCATTCTTCTCATTTGTCCATCTGCTGCTAACATGCATTCCCTTTCTCTCTCTCTCACTCATATTTTCTTCAAAGAGAATATTTTTTTATGTATGTATATGCCTTTAAACTTAAAAAAAAGAAGCGAACTGACCGGCACTACACAGTACACAAATTATTCCTTTTGACCGCGCAGATGTATATATATATGTAGCATAATAAACGATGATAGGCTAGTACCGTAAACAAACATACATATTACCATTCATTACCGTCCTTGCTTATACTCTTGTTCACAGTATGCGGTCAATTGCAAATCGTTTTTCTCTATCAATTAATCGATGTCGATCAACGGCATACATCAAAAACACAGTGTGTCAATTTTATAATGTAAATACATATATACATATATATATATATGTGTGTATGCATACACACTTGCTGTTCAGATGATGATGATTGGGTAATTAATAAATTGATAAAATTTTTCTTTTATAAGAATGAATCTTGTCAAATCTCAAGGTAAATATTTGTTGCATCAGAATTTCTCATCAATGTGAAATGTAACACTCGTTTGCTGGAATGAATTTATGATGAGTGTGAGGATAGATATCCTTGACGTATCACCTCGCTGATCATCATGATGTAAGCATAGAATATAGAATGCTGATGAGTAGAGCAGCCTGTGCTTTCTACTAGTATTACTATGGATAATTGACTTAGCATGATAGTATGTGTACAATGAGTTATGGGTCGATTGTTTCATAATCCAATTTTTTAGTATTGTATGTGTACATATATGTCAACATATCTGACAAACGGAGGATATCGTTAATTTAAGGTGAGAGATTTGTGTATTACAATTTGTTGAATAGGCTTTTAGATGACATCTAATCGATTGATAATCACATTGACTTTGTATAGTTCTAATATTTATGTCCGGAAAATTTTTGTTAATGTTTCTTTTTTCTTTTTTCTTTTTTTTTCCTTACTTTTCTTTTATTGCGATAGTATACGTCGATTTAGATTAAATACACCTTGTAAATGTCCTTTATTTCTTTTTATACTCATGACATCACATTATTATAAATGAACATTCATTTCTCGTTTTTTTTTATTTTGTTACAATATATATCCAAAAAAAGTAAAGTGAGAAGGACACGCGACCATGTACATATATTCTATTTCACACATTACCTTTTATTTAGTGAATAGTAAAGTGAAATTTGAGTATATAATTGTGTGCATTCTATAGCAATGATTAGATTTTTACTGAAATTAAGTGAACAAGAAACATCAAATGATATATAAGCTTATAAAAGCAAAGACATTTGCTATGTAACACAAATCACTTGTGTCATTGTCGACAAGAAAATTGTTTATTCTTAGAATTCTCTTTTTTCTTCTAAATCAATCTTATGTCTATGTCCAAATTATTCACTTGCATAATCGATGCATTAGTTATATATACATATAAAAGACATAATGGACAGGTGATTTTTTTTTCGTCGTTTTTCAAGTATAATCTAGAAAGACGTTCTAGAGACGAAGAAAAAAAATTTAATTGTCTCCCAATAGTCTTCGATAATATCGATAGAATAATGAATAGGATTTTTTTGAAAGGAAGACAATCGTGATTGTGCAATTTAGCTGATTAATATTTTATCTGGTCGTGTCATGCCTAATGCTAGACGAACGGCGAACGAGAGCGAGAGAGAGAGCGAGGGAGAGAGGGGGACAACGTATAAGCGCGACAACCCGTGTCACTTATGATTATAGGAGTAAGTCTTTCTTTCTTATTCATCTTCTATCTTTGACGTCAATTAGGTTAGTAAGCACGTTCACTAACAGAAATCTGACCAACTAATGAGCAACGACAGCAACAAATGTATGAGACAGATGGAAAAACGTGATGGTAGATGATGCAAAGTTACCGCTTAGAAGTTGAAAAAAATTGAATGAAAGAACAAAAGATGAATAGAACGTGTCATTCATATAGAAAGAATTTATTCTTCGTCTTTATTCAGTGAACAATAGAATAGATTTTTTTTAACTCATACATATTCGCATACGGTGATCCTTGAGAAGACGACCTGCATTTTTTTCTCACTACATTCCACTTCATACTTGACAATTATTGTTCTTCTTGAGAGTATACTTTCGATCTCGTTTTTCCATCTTGAAAAATATTGATGTCAATCTATATTTTTATATATAATAAAAAAGATCATAAAGAGTCATCTTCATCTTATGAAATCTTATGAAAGAAAAGAAAAAGGTGTTTATTTGTTTATCTTTATAATCAGACACAAAAAGTTCATTACACAAGGATAAACATCATGATGTATTTGATAGTTTTTGTATTAGTTTTTTTTCCTGACTTTTTTTTTCCTTCTAGTGATCGGACACTCTTCTTATTCTTTCTGGTTGTTTTTCATGATTGATCCTTCTCTATTCTCTCTCGCTTTTCTCTCTCCTCTTAGCTCTACTTAAAGACTTCCTTCCTGCTTTGGCGTATGTATGCACCACTTTTTTTCCTCTTTCGACGGCTGTTGCTATTGCCGTTGTCCGTTCATCAAATAATCATAAAAAAAAGAGAAAGGACTGAATACTGGCTCTCATTTTCTCTCTTGCTAAAAATGATGTAACCGAATCCAATACATATACACACACACACACGCGCATGGAATTGACGATCTTTGTCAATATTCAATAAATGTATGCGCGTGTGTGTGTCAGAGATTTTTATCAGTGATACTCATCCAATCTGTTACATTCTAATTAAAAATCAACAAGTAAGTCCCAAACGTAAGTAAGAAAAAACGTAAACTCTAAAAAGTATAAAATATAGATGATACAGTCACGCAAAAACATCTTAGGCAAGACGACTTATATCTTCACACTAATGGATTGAATAAACAACAAGTGTGAGTGTATATGTAAGGCTTGAGTGAATAAGTGAATGGATGACATAAGGACTCTTTCTTTTTTTTTCTCTTCTTCTTCTTCTATTACTTGTATATTGTCTGTACATATGACTGTAAGCATGTGTATGTATAAAATGCAAGAGAATGGCAGCTGTTACTCATCTCGAATAGGGTCAAGTATACGAATCTATGCAGGTAGTATTGCTACTTTTTAATATAGTGACACACGACCGGAAAAAGACTTTATCGACAAAAAAAATATATAAAAAAGTTGTATATTGCTTTTATTAATAATTAAAGAGAAGAGCGGGAGAGAGAGAATATTCTTTTAAGTGTTTTACTAGTACTTCTTGTCAGTAATTATTTCATAAGTAATTATAATAGACCGTTTATCTCAATAATATCGACAGACAGTTAGACAGACAGTAACATGGTCAAACATCACAATTCTACTAGCTTTAAAATAAATAAATACTTATAGAAGATCGCCGATGAAGATGATATTACTAGAGATAATCAGATCTTCGGCATTGAAAATAAATGTATGGATGTGTTTCCGTCAAATCATATCATCAATATGACCTTCGAAGTTAAGCGCAACGAGAACAGTCCAGATTTCCCTTTTATCTCATTTTCTTCTCGTTTTTCTTCTTTTTTTTTTGATATTTCTATTGATTAGAAAAAGAAGATACGAAAATTCAATCATTCGAGACATTCAATTGATTGTAAGCATACACACGCGCGTATAAGTATGTGTCCCGTCATCACAATGTGAATTTAAATAGGCAGTTACCACTCAACTGTTTACATTCATAACACTTAGAAGAAAAACGGGCAACATCCGCCCGATCGACATTCATTCATTCGATCATTTTCAATATTATTTTACAGCTATCAAGAGTCAAAAAATTCTCCATTGATTCAAGTTGTCGACAATGTCAGCGCGCGCTTACAGAGAAAGAGAACAGTCAACAATTAGAATAAAAAGAAATAACAATATATATATATATGTATTGTTATCTTCCTAAGGCAAGGTAAGTATAACACAGAAAATCAATGTATTTGTCTAGACAATGAAGAAAAAAAAAAGTAAGATATCGATCAATATACAAGAAGGCCTCGAGATTCAATTGAACTTATATTTGATGAACAAAATATAAGCAGATGAGTATTGTTATTTTCTCAGAAAGTTTATCAAGAAACAAAAAAGAAAAAATTAATGTATTTTTTATCTGTTATTGACATGATTAAATAATTTCTGGTTGAGAACATTTTATGATCATCTATAATAGGTTATTGTTTAATTCATTGAAGTAGAAATAATCATAGTAGTCATACTTCTAGTTCATGATCAAGAGACATTGCCTCAAGCTTGAGCCAATTAGAAGTTCAATAATTTTTTCCCTATCGTTATTTTCTAATTTGTTTGTACCATATGCTCTTTTTTCTTTTATTAACAGTCAAGGTTTTTTTTCCTTCTTCATTCCGTAGTTGTTCATTGTTGTATTTCATAAATCGAAGGAGGAAAGCAAGTCAAAACAAATAGTAGCCATTGGGCGTTAATGTCTGCATACATATTCAATGCGGTCCATCGCGTTCATCTTCCATCTCATTTCCTCAATAAGATGAGAATTGCTAGTGAACACAATCTCATTCACATGATTAGATCAGAATGAGACGATGTAATTTTCGTCTAGTGTAGACTAACTCCGGAACTTTCTTTTTTCTCTATTTTTTCTTCTTGGGCGTATATCCTACTTTGGAAATACATCTGCACACCTGCCTATATTCTCAAATGTCTAATTGTCAAATACAGTTATTCATTGGCGAAGAAGGTGATAATTTGTGAGAAAGAAAGAAAAAAACTACTCTATACTGAAGTGGAAAGTGTGTGTGACACGAGTTGATTAATGAGAAAGATTAAATATATACATCTGCTTATATTTGTAGATATAATGTTTTATATATTCTTTTTCTTATTTATCTTTTCAATTGTATTTTGTAAAAATCAAGAACAACAAATAATTCATATACGTGTTGATGAAGAATTACCGATATCAACAATATTATTTACAACAACAAATACAGCAACATATCGTTTATTTGATACAGGTAGAAATCAAAATTCATTTGTACGGTATGATTCTTCAAATGGTCATCTTCTATTGGCACGTTCAATTGATCGAGAAGATTTATGTTCTCAACGTATATGTTCATGTATACAATGTCAATTAACCATTGAATTAATTGAATGGCAAACACCATATCGTCTTTTACAACTTATATTAAATATTGACGATATAAATGATCATGAACCAAGATTTTCATCAAAATATTATGAATTTAATTTAATGGAAAATATTCCAATTGGATATGAATTAAGTTTAGAACAAGCAATTGATGCAGATCTTGGAGAAAATAGCCGTATTAACTATGAACTTAAACGATTAGATAAGAAAAATAATGATGGACCATTTGAATTAGTGACAAAGATTAATGGTGGTATAATATTAAAAGTAATTAAAGAAATCGATCGAGAAGAACGAGATCATTATGAATATGAATTGATTGCTTTTGATAATGGCCAACCACAAAGACAAAGTTCAACAAAATTATCTATTAAAATTGATGTATATATATTTTAAAATAATAATTGAAACTTTTCTTTTTTCTTCTTCTTCTTAATTAGGATATGAATGATAATCCAGTTGTTCTTTTGGAAACACATATTCGTCTTAATGTAAGTGAAAATACACCTATTGGTACTGAATTAACACGTGTCAATGCGACAGATCAAGATATTGGACTTAATGGAAAAGTAAAATGAATCTTTTCTTTTTCATTTGTCTTGTATAACTTTTATTTTAATTAGATTCATTATTCAATTAGTAATGGTCTTCCATCATCGAGTTGGATGGATTATTTTCGAATTAATGATTCTACCGGAATGTTAACTCTTGTTAGTCGACTTGATTATGAATCTGAACAATCCTATCGTTTAACAATTCAAGTACGAGATTTAGGTGAAAATTCTCTTTCACGTTTTGCTACAATTGATATATATGTTCTTGATGAAAATGATAATCAACCACAAGCATTTATAACATTTGTAGAATCTCTTATAAATGAAACAATTATTCCTTTACATGAAAATACTCCAATAGGACAAATGTTAGCACATGTTTCAATATCAGATCAAGATTCTGGTTTAAATGGTGAAATGTCCTATCGAATTGAACAAGGAAATGATCTTATTGGAATAAGACCAATTGATCAAAAATCATTTTTACTTGTTACACAAAATTCAATTGATCGTGAAGATCAAAAACTTCATTCAGATAAATTTATTTTAATTATTTATGATCATGGACAACCATCAAAATCTCTTCGATTAGAATATAAAATACTTATTATTGATGAAAATGATTCTCCACCCATATTTAATCAATCATTAAACTGTAATATACAACTAAATCCTTCAGATAATCAATCAATGGGTTAGTTTCTTCAAAAAAAACATATTTCATTTTTTTAAAAAATTATTTTTTTCAGATAATAATCAATCATTATTTCATGTCTATGCAACGGATTCAGATATAGGTGATAATGGTCTTCTATCCTATTCAATTCTTCCACCTTATGATAATTTTTTTACAATTAATGATCAAGGTCAAGTATTTAATATAGAAAATTTAAATCAATCATCCTATTATCATATACGTATTATGGCTATTGATCATGGAAAACCTAAACGATTAAATTCAACTCATGATTGTTTTATCTCAACATCGATAATGCATATTTTTGATAATTATTTTGATTATGAAAATATATCTTTTTCAAATCTAACTTTAATTAATAATAATCAAAATCTATTTCAATGGTCATTATCATTGTTTGATCAATATTCTTATGTAGTTATTGGATTATTTTTACTTTTTTTATTTATTATTATTATAATAATAACAATTTTAATAACATTTTGTTTACATACATTTATATTTCGTCATCGAAAAATTTTAAAACCAAAAAAAAAAACTTATAATTGTTCAAGACAATTTAATTTTTATGATACATTACAACGAAAATCTCCATTTATACATGATGATAGTGGTTGTAGTAGTAAAATAGATGAACATGATGATATAACATCAGAGGAACGTGAACGACTTGTTAATTTAAATGGAAGTGATCGAACATCATTTGAATCATCAGATTCAATGAATAAACAAATAAGAATATTGAACAAGGTTAGTTTTTCTTAATCAAAATAATTTCATAAGAATTTTTTTTCTTTTCTTAGACTTCAACTATGCGACCTTTATCAGATCATCATAGTTTTTCACGAATAAGTCGTAATAGTTATCCACCATCACCTTTCCTTTCGTCAATGCCTTCTGTTGTCATTCCACCACGTAATAATTAACTTGATTTCTTTTTTTTGATTATTAATTGTAAAAATATTTTAGCAAAACCTCCTCGAGATAGTGGATTTGAATCTATTTGTTTATTAAAACAACATCAACAACAAATTATTCCTGGACGACCATTATCATTATCAATTTCAACAGCAACAACATATACAAGTAGTGGAACAGATTCATCATCGTCACCACTTCCACCACCAATGATGAATACATTTCGAGCACCGTATTCATCATTTCGATATAATGCACCTATCTCACATGTTGCTCGACTTGCTGAAGAAGAAAAAATGGATGTTTAAAACTTTTTCTAAGATACACTTGATAGAACTAGTCAGTTTGGTTTTATATAACATTGTGTGCGTGCGTGCGTGCGTACTTTTTTTTTCACTCACACGATAATAATAATCGTGTTTTTTCTTTTAGCCTTTTTTTTGTGCAATTCAGGAATTCGTGTGCGTGTGTGCATTTCTCAGAGAAGATAATAATTATTAAATTTTTTATTTGCAGTAGACTCTATTGTGAAAAATCGAAGAATTTGTTTTATTGAATATTTGATCAATCAGATGACTGATATTTGATATCTCATAATTTATTTAGTTTCTACAGACATACTTAATAAATATTACTGAAAGTTATACCTTTCGATCAATAGTTGTATCTAAATCATAATATTCATGACACACTATCTATTTTTTTATCATTGAGTTCATCTGTTACTACAACAATGATACTGATGACTTTTAACATGTCTGTTGCATACAATTTTACGATGATTTTTATTTGATATACTATATATGTTCTCATTTTACAACATATGTATTTATCAGTTTTGTTATTGTTCAATGTCATCAAATTTGTTGTTTTGAATCAAGTATATTATGTGACAGACAGCAAAAGATATAACAATTTTCTACACCTGTTACTCGATTATATGATAAGAAATCATAAGTGAGTAACTTTCAATCTGACCATCAGACATATTACATTAAGGATCAAATTACAGTATAAAATAAAGAAAAATTTTTAGGATGATGATACTAACGATGCACTTTATCTTAATTAATAAATGACAAGAATATTGGATATCATGTCTCAACTCAATTTTAATAATTGAACTATTATTTCTTTACAATTGTCTTATATAGTACATAATCTATCATCATATATCAATAAAAATCAAATAAATATTTATTTTCTTTTTATTGACATGTTGTTACAATAAACTTATGCCAAATTGTTTGATTATTTCTTAATTAAAGATTCTATGTAATAGTTGTGTTTCATCATTGTATATTATTTCTTGGAATAGAAATACTTAGATGAAGAAATTCCTTAACAATTAGATTATATTCTTATTTTATTTATATATACACATTTACTTTTAATATAAAAAAAACTATGATATATTTATATAATCAGTTGTCGCCTCGTGTATATTAATGAGAATAGTACTGTGTGTCGAAATCATAATGGTTGTTATAATAATAAGAAGAAAAGAGAAGTCAATTCTATGTAATTGTTATGTCTTTAAAGTAACTGATGGGTATGAGATGGAGGTGGTACACTCTCCTTCTCTCTACTCTAATAAGTTCTAGTGGCGTGTATAGGACATATATATATATAATATACACGACATATATATATGTGTCGTCTGTTGTTTTTGTTTGTGCGCGTGTATACACTGAAAAAAATGATGCTATTATTTGCAATCTCTGCCTCTTTCTCTTTGTCTCTATCGTTCTCTTAAGTGTTATTGTTGTTCTATCATTAAGTGAAGAGGACAAAAAAAAAGAAAGAGAGAGAGGGAGGGAGAGAGAATTGTACCATTTTTACCCTCTTTTTTTTTTATACGTATGCGTCCCGTTAGTCCATCGTTTAGCCATTGTAAGCAGTATCTTTATACATACGCACATACACTCACAAACGGACGTAATCTGTGTTAGAAATATAACGAGCTATATTCATTCGTTCACCTGTCCTTCAATTGTGCTTGATTTACTACTTATTTCTTCTTCACACATCTAACAGTATATATACATATATATATATATATATACATATACATATATATCTGTCGATTCACCGATCATCATCATCATCATCGTCGTAGTATATTGTTCTCTTTTACTTTTTCATCTATATTTGTGCATGGTAATAACATCAATAATGATAGTGGTTAAACTAGTGATTTGATATATCTATTCAAAATTAGTATTATTTATACATCTTAACAAATATAATCAATGTTCATGAATCAAACACGTTGTTTTGTACTACTACTACTACTACTACTACTTGTTGTTTTATCAGCAACAACAATAGATATTGAAGATGATTCCAATGATGATATTGAATTGACCAGCGATATGTGAGTATTTAGTCTAAGAGAAAATAAAATTCTAGACATAGATCCAAGGTAAATGTTGACAATGACAAAAGATAAGTTATTATCGTCGCGTTGACGAAGATGAGATCAAAAGAAGACTTGACAGTCGCAATAATAAAACATACGAGACATTATTCTATAAAGGAAGGCGATGATGTTTGTTTCACTAATGAAAATATACTATATATATTGTCTGCATTCTTTCGTTTATTTTGTCAATCATCAACATCGAGATAAATCGAATAATAATAAAAAAACTACGAAGATTTTTAACTTTTATATCTATTTTAAAGGCCAAATGTTTGTTCAAAAATTGAAACACGTACAATAACTAAATTAATTCCATGTCTCAAAAGTTATGATCATCTTGTTAAAGTCTGGTCACGTAATTGTTCTAATGGTCGTCGTGTATGTCCAATATATGAACACAAGTTCGATTATTCTTTTGAAGAAAGAAAAACAGTATTTTTATTTCGATTTATCATGTATATTTTAGAACGGAATACTATCGAAGTGAACAAAAAGTAACAAAAGAAGTCAATATAACTATTTATCATTGTTGTCTCGGATGGACACGTCTTATTCATGATTATGGTTGTCCTATTGGTAAGAATTCATTGAAATGTAATAAAACTTATTTAGAATTTATTTTATTTGAAAATAATTGACTATTATCGTTTATATGACTTTATTCTATCCGTCAATGTATTTAGAGTAACAAAAAAAAATGAAAGAGCAACTATGATGACTGATTGAGTAATACATTGACATCCATCATAGGTGCTCATTATAAATGAGTACACCACTTGATTTTTTTTGATATGTTAATACTTTCTCTTCTTATTATACAAAAAAAAAAGAAATAGAAAATGAATGTTCAACATTGCAGGTGGTGACAATATCATTACAAACACATTTAGCTATTGTTCATTGAGGTTGATTTGTAAATCGATGACCATGAACTAATGTTCTCTTTCCCTAGTTTATTTCTTTTCGTGATTGAATACAGATGTATATTAACATACTTATAAAAAAAGAAATCGAAGTTTACATTCTGTTTATATGTATATATCGGTTAATCGAATAAAAAGTAAAAAATAAAAAAGAAGAAGAAGAATGTTTATAATGATGAATTAGATAATGTATGTCTAGTCGTAAAGCAGAACAAATTTGAAGGTTAAATATATTTGAAATATGATTATATATAATAAGACAATAAAAATATCATTTATTCTTTTATATAAATGTAAAAATGAAATTCATTATTATTAATCTTGATTGAAAAGCATATCTAATGATAAAATCGTTTTTTTTCTCTCTCTTCTTAATTATAGCAATGCAACCAAATCGAGTACAAAGAAAAATTCCACTACGTCATCAAATAAATTCAATGAATAGTATGTTTAATTTAGTTTTTTTTATTCAATTTATTTTTATATTCGTTATTAGATCGTTGTCCACATAATCGTTTTGGTATACATTGTGAATATTCATGTTCTCAATGTGTTTATGGTACATGCAATTGGCGTATGAAAACATGTGATTGTCAATCAGATTTTACTGGAACTTTTTGTAATCAAACGACATTATTTGGAAGAATTGATCAAATGCATCGATGTCAATTATGTCATAAAGGAAATACAGCTTCATGTCATATGGAAGTAGGTAGGCTTTTTGTTTTATTCAAAAAAGAAAAGAAAAGCTCAGATCGATTACATATATTGAATAGAAAAATGATATTTGATTTAGTTCAATTTATGCATAAAGAGATATTTTTCTTTACGTCATCTTTTAGACTGGCAAGTGTCAATGTTTGCCTGGTCATCATGGAATTCATTGTGAAGAAGGTGAGTTAAATAAGATAGAATATTAACATGTGAGAGTGTTAAATATAATGAATTCAATGCTTCTTTTGTATATGTGCATCGTTTTGAATTATTATATAAATAGTCTTATTCATTGTAATATAATATTGGTTTTGTTTTAATAGATTGTCCAATGAATTCTTATGGACGTGATTGCGTACATCGATGTTCATGTCAAAATGGAGCAAAATGTGATTCTCGTGATGGCCATTGTTTTTGTTTAGCTGGTTTTACGGGTAGTCGATGTGAGACAGCATGTCCGCAAGGTACTTTTGGACATATGTGTTTACAAAAATGTCAATGTGGAAGTGATAATAATGTTTGCAATTCACGAACAGGTGAAATAAGAAATAATTGATAATTAAGAAATTTTTATCTTTTATTTTTTGATTGAAGGAGAATGTAATGCATTTCTTTGTAATGGTAATTCAAAATGTTTACTAGAACAAGAAAGAAAAAAATCATACATATCTCTATGTCCAGAAGGTATTTAATAAAAAAAACGAATGTTGTAAAATCAAATTGGATTTTCTTTAAATTTAGGTTTTTTTGGTCCACCACGATGTCGTCAAAAATGTATGTGCGTGAATAATGCTCAATGTGATCCGTTATCTGGACGTTGTCTTTGTCATTCGGGTCATGTCGGACGCTATTGTGAACGATGTTCGTTATTTATCGTTTCTTTTGTATTATTATTATCTCTTCTGTTTTTTCTCGTTTTAGCTTGTGAACGTGGTTGGTATGGACCTGGATGTATTCATCGATGTGAATGTCATGATGATACAGCATGTGATGCTCGTACAGGTGCCTGTAGTTGCAAAATGGGTATGACAGGAAAATTTTGTGATGAAGGTTTGTATTATCGAATAAAAAATTTTGATTTTGAAATGATATTATTAAATTAGAATGTCCGGAAGGAACATATGGACAGAATTGTTCAGAAATATGTCAATGTAAAAATGGTGCTCGATGTAATAAAGTTACAGGTTGTTGTTCTTGTCCTGTTGGATATCATGGCTCATTTTGCCAATTTAGTAAGATAAGGAAAAATATTCGAAAAAAGATAAAATAAAATATTTAAATTTAGGTTGTCGACCATTTACATTTGGATTTTATTGTTCTGAAACATGTAATTGTTCTTCAGAAACATCTGATGGTTGTGATGGTAAAACGGGTAAATGTCGATGTAAATCTGGTTTTCATGGTGAACGATGTGAGACTCGTAAGATAAAAAACGAAAACAATATTTTCTTATAAAATAAATATTGAATTTATTTTTATTTCTAAAAGCATGTTCTGCGGGACAATGGGGAGAAGATTGTTTAAATAAATGTGATTGTAGTGGAAGTTCATGTAATTCTCAAACAGGTTTATGTAATTGTTCACCGGGTCGAACAGGTATTCGATGTGAACAAGGTATGAACTAAATGTTTTTTATTTGAAATATAGATTGTTACAATTTCTTTTTTATATTTAAGATTGTCCAATGAATACTTATGGTATAGGTTGTAAACCTTGTTTATGTCAATCATTTCAATTATGCGATGTAGTAACAGGCGAATGTCAATGTCCAGCAGGTTGGAAAGGTGATGCTTGTCAATTTCCATCAACAGCAAATGGACCTGGTTTGTATTTTTTTATTAAAATATATTTTATTTTTAATTTATATCTATTTAGATATGCCGGAGAGAGGCGATATGTATAAGAAAGATACATAACATTTGAATTGTTTCCTTCTCGATCAAGTCTATTTTTTTATATTTACTTGTACAACTTTGAATTTTATTTGTGTGTAGTCACTTAACAAAAAATAAATAAAAAGAACAGATAATAATAATAATCAATTTATTTAATGTTGAAAATCGTTTTTAGATCAATGTATTACATTGAGGGTGTGGGTGTGGATACTGTATTCACCTAGCACCCACAATCGTCCTCAAGATAAGGTACTTCATTGATAAATTAGCTCGTTTCTTCATTATGCATTGATCATATGTTCCTCCATGTTATTATTATGCCAAGACAATTATTAACTTAATTTGACAATAGTCTGAGTGTGAATATGCATAAAGAGTAGAGAAAATGCCCATATCAATACTCTTGTAAATTACTAAAAGAAGAAATTTTAGATAATAATTTCAGGATTTTTATTCATAAGTAGTATTTCTGAAATCCATTTCAAAGTTTTAAATTTGTATCCTATAAAACGTTTTTATGATATAAAATAACAATAAAAACACGAAACATGAGTCGGTCGGTAAGATAATATTCGAAAAAAACTAAATAATGTTTAAACGAAATAATTATGCATGTTCTTGTCTAATATAGATTTATATATATATTATTCCATCTGAGAGAAACCATTTTTTTGTCATTGAAATATATTTTTCGACGGAATAAGTTTTTGTTTTCCTATGAACGACGATTCATCGCCTTCGATATCATTATCAATAGTACGTATATGTCCTCTTGGTTGAATTTGTAATAATGATAGATAAAATGATTGAGATCTTGTTGACTTTTTATACTGTTGTTGATCAATATAAAATGTCTGTACTTGTTCGAGCACTCGATGATAAATTTTGTTAAGTATCATTTGTAGAAATTGTTTCATCTATTTCTGATGATAAAGTACAAGCTATTCAACTAACTGTAGATGATAATGATGAACGCTTGAGTATTAGAATTGGTTTAGATTAAGAAAACTACAATTTTTAATTTTATCAAGTAATTGTCAGTCATTGCGTTTGAATTCAATACATCAGATCTATCCTAAATTACTCGGCAAATATTTTTTCTCTCATGATCTCATTCGTCAGATATTATCAATTTCAAGATTAGTAACTGAACACTCATAAATAAATCTTGAACATGCATGTTATAGTATTTTTTTAAGCATTATGATTAAAATATTATTTTATTAAAATAAATTTGTTTGTAAAAGCTAAAGATAAATCTGTAAGCAAGCGATTAAATAAAATGTTGAAAAATAAATAAATATTTTTATTCAGTTATTTCAGGTCCTAAAGAAAATAATTTTAAGATTACCAAAATCCATTTCCATCTGTTTCCCAATTTGGATAAATGGTTTGTAAATCATCTTTTGTAATAATACGTTTTTCTCGAATACGATAGAGTTGTTCAAGTTTATCATTAACAGGTTGAGTAGGTAATGGACGAAATTGTGCTTTATAACGAATATTATCAAGATCAGGTCGAGGATCAGATACATAATAAATAGCAATTGATTTACGTGAATTACTTTCTGGACATTTAATTGGTAAAGGTAAACCATGATAAGAAACATCCGAAGTACGAAAAAGTATCGCTTTATTAAAACATGGACTTAATTTCTTTTCACATTTACTAAAATCTTCATTCCATAATTCAATAGCGCCACCATAATCATTTTGCCAATCTTTTGTAAAATAAATAATTAAATTAACTCTACGTTCTTTACCTGTTACCGGATGTATACTATAATCAAGGTGCATATCAAGTTTACCACCTGGTATATGTTGATGAAGTCCAGCACCATGAAGATTTGGATCAGCTTCTAAATTTTCAATTCCACTAATCTTCTTCACAAGATCAACAAATTCTTTTGTTTGTAATAGATTAAATAAATCTTTAAATTGTGGTAAAGAAGAAAAATCTGTTAAAGCATGTTTTTTTTCAATTGGATTATTATAAACAATCCATTTATGATCATCAGTAACTTTTGGAAATACACTATAAAGTAATTCCGCTATTTCTGGTTTAAAAAAACGATCAATTTCAACATTTGGAAATGGTTTAGCATTAATAAATGATTTATTAAGTTCTTCAAGATTATTAATCCATGAACCAAATGATTCAACACCTTTGTTTAAAAGTTCAAAATTTTCTACTTTCTGTATTGGAACTGTGTTTGTATCCATTAGATTTTTTTTTTACTTATTGTATCTAGAAAATTTCATACGATTGTAGTCTATAGATATAGAATTGAATTGTGTTCAAATTATAACTTTATTTTCTTACTTTTTTCTATTGTGATGATTTCATGAATTCATAAAATTTTATCAATTAATTATTCATAGAGTTATCAATGCACATATACTAACTAAACTTATTCTTATTTTGTCTGAAAATTTTTTCAAACAATTTGTGAAGATATATAAATTTAATGATAATTTGCTTGAGAAAGATTTACTTCACGTGATTAAAATTCATTCTCGCAAACCATTCTGGATTTTCGATTTATACATCTGGCAACTCTAGTTACTATATTCAAACAAAAAACAACAACTTTTGTCAGATGACATCTGAAATAGATCTGAGATTAAGAATGCTACTGATAATGTTGCTTAAAACTGCTGAATTTATCGAAAACTATGTAATATTATGAGAAAACTAATACAGTTCTTTAAAAACTGGTATAGATATAATATTAAATAGTCTACTTTTTCTTGGAACAATCATCATTAGTGATATATTTTTCATAAAGTAAAAGAAATCGTTTTTTCTTTAATTACACTTACCATCTTTACACATCTAATTTAAACAAACTCTTCGATTCTATTGTTGAAGAACAAAATAGATGGCTGTGGAAAAAGCTACTAATGTTGTTTGAACCGATATAGCTGACCGACAAGGGCTAACATATACATATATCTTATCAATAAGGAAAGGGATATTTTTCTCTTTTACACCTATGAAGAATAACAAAAAAAGACTTCTTTTACATAAGTACTTACAGATTATAATGTCGACGACATTGATTTACAAAAAAAAGAGAACAAAAATATTTTTTATAAGCAAAGATTTGCTAAGCATACTTCTACTGATATCTATGTAAATAAGATGTTCGTCTTGTTTTACAGTTCAATCTAAATGAAAGAAAAATAATTTTCCATATATATTTCTTGATTATTTTATTTTTGACATTGATCTAAATAAAAGGAAACATAATATTTTTAATAATCACTGCTAATTATATGAAACTGTTGGTTGATCGTCGGTTACCAATAGTTTTAACAAAAAATAGACGACAAGAGATACTGTTTATAGCAGAATACTGATATCATGGTTTCTTTTATTTTCTAATTTCTTTGGTAGCTAAAAAAAAGTAAATCAATCGCCGTATGCTCGTCGTCATTTATTATATGAGGAGGAAAAAGCAAATTGAGACAAAAAAAAATACTTAATTTAACAAAGAAAAACAAAATTCAGTAGTCTTATTTCTACCGTCATACGGGAAATAGACTTTTGATTTATTTATTGTATCAGAGAACTATATTTTTTGTCTCCTATAAAATCATATTTTTCTAGATGACTATTCTTTTGTAACACTTGAATAGTTTTACTAAGGAAAATGGACTTTCCATCTTATCACCTAAAATAAATAGTTTTGTGACAAAAGAAACATTTGTTATCTTGTCATTAATAAGTTTGTTAGATATTTTATTCACATTTTAGTTAAAAAACCATGACCGATATAAAGAAAAGTATTGCGAAAGAAAACTGTCAAGATAAATTAAAAAGCGTAATAAATAGCAATTGCGAAAAATACTTTACTAATTAGTTGAAGAATATTGATTATTCTGAAAACGTTCGCATAAGAAGCAAATGTTTATTTTCTTATAAAGAAAAGTAATAGAAATATCGATTCAATTCAATTTTTAATTAGTTTACGATCTATTCCTATTTAGAGATATACGTACTTACACGAAACACTTCAAATACCAAAATACTAAGTATAATGATTTATTGAACATTTCATTGAATAGTATAGCGTAAATGGAATTCATCATTACTAAAAAAACGTTTTTTTCACCATTTTCAAAATATCAAAATTATCTTTGTTGAAAGAACATGCTTATTTAGATCAAGCTTTTCTGCAAGTTTCAACATTATTAATATTATTTTGCAATATTTTCTCTGTGGTTTGTTAATTATAACGGTTAGATCGGCAAATTCATCAGTCACAAAAATAAAAGATTCTTTTTTTTCTTGCATTATTTGAAAGCTTTAGTATGGAAAAAAAAGAGCCGGTTGTTGTTATTTCTTTTTTTTCAAGCGCATATACATAGATTTTGAGATTACGCGTGCGTTTACTAAAACGTCTATTACACACCGTTTCAAGTTATATTCATTTTTCTTTCTTCAACAAAAAACTAATTTGAAAGCATGGTAGTACGTATACACCTTTTATGATAATAAGATATCATCTTTTTGTTTATTGTCAAAAAAATTACCGTTTCTCCACGGAAACATTTTTTTATTGAAATCATCTAGATTTTTGGATGAATTCTTTTTCATAACTGTATTTCGAAGATATAGATAATATACTAAATAAGAAATATTATATTTATTTTATAAAGACAATAAATTAAATAGTTTTCGGATGTTTCATAGTTATTTGTAAAGTACCGATTGTAATTAAATATTGACCTAAACCATATGTAAACATAATGAATAAACCTGATACTGGTATAGGTATAACAAATCGATTGAAAGCTATAAATGAATCTGACAAAACAAAAAATATTGCACCAATAAAAACTGACCAAAACCCGGGAGATTTTCGATCACGTAAATACGATATATAAGCCATACCAACAATTATAAATGTATAAAATATCACAGGCATTAGTAAACCTTTGACTTCTTCTGCATCTGTATTTAATTTTGGACAAAGTATGTAGAGCATAAGTGCTATATATGCTATAAATGGAATTAGTGCAATTATTATTGCAGATATAGTTAATCGTCGTTTCAATGCATCTCCTTCATGGTGAAGTCTAACCATAAATGACATCACATAACTAATATGAACAATCAAAAAAGAAAGTAAACCATAGACAAATAAATCATTTCGACGTTGCATTAATAATATATCACCTATACAGGAAAATACCAATGATATTACTACAAAAATACGTTCGAGAGATAAATTTTTATGTGCATTTAGTAAGAATAAAAGTAATAGTATAGGCATTAATAATGGTTTAGACATGGATATAATAAAATAATTTTCAGTTGTTTCACCATACATTTCTATGGTAAGTAAAACTGAAAACAATAAAGACAGTGGTCCAATATACACCATTGTTGTGTCACTTATCTAAAATAATAAAATTATTATTTGAATACCAAACAAAAAAAACAAAGATACTTTCCGTTTGCAAAGATAAGGATCATGACTCATGTAGAGAAGGAGAATTATATATACAAAGCCATGCTTTTACAAGACAATAAACAGAATGAAAATATATAACTTCTTTTTTTTTTGGATACAAAGCCTTTTTATTAGTATAACATGACACAGACAAGGAAACCTGTTTCGAAAGGCTGATTAGATAACGGAGAGACGCACGACAAATGTCTTATGTCTTAAAAGTACGTGTATGTGTTGTATGTATGAAATTACTGAATACATGTTGTAATTTTTAGTTTGGTTTAGTCTATCATTAAGAACGGCATTTAATGTGGTAACATTGTTTTGGGTTGTGAAATATATAATTCATAATTTTCAAGTGGATGGAAAGGTGAAAGAATACTATTAATCATATATCATTTCAGTTTTAAAGCTTGTATGATATCAGAATAAACAAAGAAGACTAGTTAATGGTAGATAAAATTTGTAAACAATTGAATGATTCTGTATTATTGTATAGATATACAATCTCATCGTATTAATTATAACTTTATTTCTTAACTGTTCAATATTATAAAATAAAATTCTATTTAATATAATTTCCATATTTAATTAAAAGATATTAGAAAAAAGTGGTGTCATTGTTGAAGTTGTTTGATTATATCATTGAATATATTCGAATTATTTTCAGTCTGTTCAATTGTTTTTTGCAATAGAAGGTGAAGATTATTCAGAAGTATATTATTTGAAATACAGGTACGATTAGAATCATTTAAACTTTCACCCATTTGTACAGTTGTTAATTGTTGAATATTAGAATTATGTTTTGAATCAACGTCGGATGAATGATTTTTCTTGTGACTTAATTTTTGAAGTTCATCATTAATTATTTGACGAAAATTGTCAGTCGAAATACTTATACTACATTCATATTCATATACAAATTGAATTTGTTGAATATGAAAATAAATATCTGCTTGTTGTTTAATCCATTTTTTAAATTCGTTATAAAATTCAAGTATTAATGGATAACATCCTTCATTAACAAAATGAATATATTGATCATAAAGTTTTTTAAGATTTTTTTGTCGTATTATATTCGACACCATTTGAAGTTGACTAGGTCTAGTAATCGTTGTATCCTATTCGATAACAAAAATAAACAATCATAAATTTTAATAAGAAAAAAAATAAGACAAACATGTCGAAATCTTTCACAGAGATCAGTTGCATCTTGAACATGTTTATTAATTTGTTGAATATACATTGAATAATTTTTCATTTGTGTTGAAAGATTACTTAATCTAAACAATCGTTCATTATCATTAAAATTTGTATCAAGAATTGTGGATAAATCTTTATCATATTCAATTAATTTATGATAAAAATTCAATGATAAATCTAACATAGGTCTTATTTTTGAAAAATTTTGTTCTTCAGATGTTTCATTGGTATCCGAAGATTTAATTATTGATTTATAATATGAATGAATAGGTTTTGGTGATGATTGTGGTTTAATTAAATCAAATATCTTTTCAAGTTCATGAGTAATTTGATGATTAAGAAGATTTTTACGAATTAAATAAAGTAGTTCAAGTAATTTCGATTTAAGAAGACGATGTACAGTCATAATTGTCGATTGAATTATTTGCATGATAGATTCATATTGAATTACTCCCGTTTGTAAATAGAAAAAAAGTCCAACTATCTTCTGACTCCAATCATATACCGAAGCAAAAATATCTTGAATATTTTCCATTAATTGTATCTTTGGTATATGGATCTCTGATATACATTTATAATCGAATTTTGATATTGAAAATGTATAAATAATTAGAGGTTTTTCATATGATAATGACATAGGTAATTGTTCACAAAATGTTTTCACAGTCGTTTCTTCTGTTCTTAATACAGGATAATATACACTAAAAATAACAGAACGATATCTCGATGATTCTAGTTTCGCACATCTTTATAAGTGAAACTTACTTTTGAAAAAGACAAAAATATTCAACGTTCATTTCATCGTCATTTTCTTGTCGAATATAATCGAAAAATTTATGAATTGAATCATCAGCTTGAAAATAAGCACATGTTAATGTAAATTTTTTTAAATTAATGTAATAAATAGGAATTAAATCAATTATTTTGTTAACTTCATCGAAAAATTCTTCATGTTTCATTAATCGTTCTTGATTTGTTTCGAATAAACATGAGAATAATTTTTCTAACATTTTCTTAAGATTTGATGATAAACGACACCATTCTGGTAAGACTTTCGACCAACGAATATCTCCATTATATGTATCTTGTATACCTACAATAATCATTATATATATATATAAACAAGATATATTCCTTTACTCCTACCTGAAATAGATCCTAATGGTATTGATGTTAACATTTGTTTCATTAAATTTCGGTCATTACTTGTACCATTGTATGATTGAAATGGCAATTGACCTATAAAAATAAATAATTCAGATATAGATGAAATGATATATATTCAAACCTGTAGAACATTGATAGAGTGTTACACCGAATGACCATATTTCAATTTCAAATGGAATTGAAACATGTGTTCCAACAATATTTCCATCACTATTTACTTTTCTATCAGGAAGATTATTACTAAAAATTAAAAGAGAAAATTAGTAAATAAAAATTAGTAAAATGTAAATTATTAACTGATATACAATTGGATGAACATATTTTGCTGTATCATGACTAGAATTCGATGTTACTTCGTCTTGTATAATTTCTCGAGTCACAACTAAATCAGTTAATTTATATATTACTTTATTATTAATATCAATCGTTCGCATAATGTTGCTTGGCTTTATATTACAATGAATCTAATAGATAATATATTTTTTAACTTTCAATATATATGTATATATAATTTCTCATTACTTTTTTATTATGTAAATATTTAAGTGCATTAATGATATCCTTCATGATTTGTATTATGATATCTTCAGGCAAACCATATACATTAGCTGGTAATTGAAGCATATCATGAACACTACCTCCATTACAATATTCAAAAAATAATATTTCTTGATTCGGAAATTCATTTAAATTATCTGATGAAGCGATTATTTCTGTACCAATAAAACGAGCAATATTATCATGATTAATATTCTTAAGAAAATCAACGTTTTCAACAAATATCGAATGTGAATAATCTTTATCCTCGTTATCAGTTCTATGACTAAATTCAATATTGAATAATAATGATGTAAGTTTCGGAACTTTAGCTATCACTTGTTCTCGTGTTGTTATATTACATGCTTTGTAAACATCTGATGTTGTACTACTACCAACTTTATCTCCAACATCCCATAAATAATTCTTAGTTGTTTTAAACACTAAAATATTACATGTATAATAGATATTTAATGAAAACAGTAATATTAAATGTATTTACTTCTCTGAATATACTTATACGAAAGAATAAAGCACTTGTTTTTTTTATTGCACGTTAGTGAAGTAAAATGACAAAAACAACGAAGAAATGTGTTTTTTTT